CGTTCATGCCAGACTGGGGAGAGAGGTGTTGTAATAATGTAAAATATCTGAAAAATAATGTGTTTTCCGAACAACCTAGTATGAGAGCCTGTTCTAGTACACCCCCAAAACAAAATCAAGACTTTGTAAAAGAGCATAATAGGACCCCTTTAAGGTTTACACAGACAGGTACTACCAAAAATAAAAAAACTACCAAAATTCAAACATGCTGGGCATTGGTTATTAACTCCATATATGGCATTACATCTATTTCTGCTCTTTTCATGTCAGAGATTGCATAAAGATTGGATGATCGTGTGAGAAACAAATTTAAAGCAGGCATACATGGATGATGAGTAAATATGCTTTGGAGTATCTGATGATTTTGTCTCTCACAGAACTACTGTCCTTGGAGTTTCATACGGAATGGCTTTCCTGCTGCTCGCCTTGATCCTCGCCATTTGTTTTGCTGGTCACATACTGGTAAGTGGTGCTCGCACTTGTAGAAGTAAATATGAAGTAGCTTTCTTTGAGAGTGAATTGCCAGTGAATGAGGCAGGCTGGCTTGTTTACTCAGTTTATTCGGATGTTGACATGTTACATATTTTTCCATTTTCCATGAAGGAAATAACTGTACTGAAATGTCATTTAATAAGTCGAGGTTTCCGCACATTTGTGACCCTCATCTTGTTAGAGAAAATGCCATACCGGGAGGAAAAAACACCATATCAAAACAAGATTGAAATTTCCTTGTTTTAACCCGAGGAACAACACTCTTTTTCAGCTCTTAGAGAGCGTTGTCTATAATCAAATTACCAGCTACTTTGGACCTGTGGAGCATAAATGGCTTAAGTAAATGTCACCTGTATGTCTCTCTATTTTCTTTCTCCCGCTCTTTCTTTCTTAATATATTATGAAAGCTTAGAGTGAAATGGCTTATTCAGTATTCAAAGGCCTGTAGATTCTCTAATTGGAAATCTGTCAAGAACATGTTCTGGTCATATTCCACCCCAAAATCAAAAGAAATGAATAAGGAATGTTGTTTTCTTAATGAAAATTAAGCCTATTTTTATGACCAAGCAAATATTATTTAAATTGTAAATTATTTACATTTAAAAATAATTTTTTTTTTTTTTCTACTTATAGTTATACTTTTATTCCGTTATTCAAAAAATGCTGTACTTTTAAACTTTGTTCATCAAAGAATCCTGAAAAAAATGTATTATGGTTTCCACACAAATATTAAGCAGCAGAACGGTTTTCAACATTGATAATAATCAGAAATGTTTATTGAGCAGTAAATCAGCATATTAGAATGATTTCTGAAGGATCATGTGACACTGAAGACTGGAGTAATGATGCTGAAAATTCAGCATTGCATCACAGGGATAAATTATATTTTAAAATATATTCAAATAGAAAACAGTTATTTTAAATTGTAATATTATTTCATAATTTTAATCAAATAAGTGCATAAGAGCATAAGAGACCTCTTTCAAAAACATGTAAAAATCTTACCAACTCCAAACTTTTGGACAGTAGTGTACATCATGTTAGCAGGGCTGTTTCTAGGCATAGGGGGGGGCAATAGGGATTTCGCCTAGGGCGTCAAATTGGCTAGAAACGGCCCTGCATGTTAGTATTTGTTGTACTGTGTTAATTTTTATTGAAATAATTTTTTTAATTTAAATTACAAAACTGTTATTATAGTACTGTATTTCAGTACTTAGAATCTAATGAGTATGACCTTTGAGAAAACTGCTGAAAAAAATGCTTATTAGAATTTGGGCTCGTAATGCAAAAATGTCACAATACTACAAATATTGTTATTTTTAAAAATAGACTTCAATTTCTATATGTAAAATTTAATTTATTTTTCGGTGGGGGGGGGGGTGACCTTGACATGTGTGAGATTGAACCTCATACACTCTATGGAATTCCTACTATTATCAGTGTAACCTGTTTTTCTGCGTATTGAGGCATCAAAGTTATATTTTTAGAAGGTACGACCTTCCAGAGAACTTGAAGGGTTTGCATGCCATTCACCCACCAACTCGACTTGATTTGTCCCCAGTTCATTAATTAACAAAGCTGTTTCAGTTGAAGATTCAGAATTCACGATGATAAAAAAAAATAGGCCACACTTAATGGAAACCTTGCATTATCCCAAAAACCTTTTTTCTTTCTTTCTGTTTTTGTGTCGAAAGAAAAGCAGCTCGAGTGATGTTACTTTTTACTGGGTTTTTTGCCATCTATTTTTGTGCAGCAAACTCAAGTCCCCACGGTTTTGGGGATTGCGGGTATGAGGGGCCATTTTTATAAAGCTCTGGCACTTATATTTTGAATTTCTTTTATGGTAGGACTCTCTTTTGGTTTCACAAACAACTGTCAAAGTCATGAGTGCCTAGAGCTCTATGGAGTTTAGTTAAGAGTCTCTCTCAGTTTTGTTTCCTGATGTGAGAGTTCACATTCAGCCCACAGATTCACAAATATGAAAGAGGGGTAAAGGCTATCCAGTCGAAGTGCTGTGTTTAAACATTGAAAGCTATTTTTTGTATAGGTGATGTAACTAACGTGTGATTGACTGGTGAGAGGGTTTTATTGTTTTGTTTTTTGTTTTTTTACCTCCTCTACCTCTTTTACTTCTTTTTGATTTAAGCCTGAAGCATTCTTGCACATGGTCTAGGTTAAGTGTTTTGTAAAGTGCTGTTCCACTGCAGTTCCGTTAATACTCATCCTGACAATGTAGCATAAACTCACTAAAGGTCACATGGCCTCTACAGACATTACATTAGTACTGCAATCAGTACAGGATGAGTTTTACATTAGCACTGCAATCAGTACAGGATGAGTTTTACAAACAGATCTCAGTTTCTTCAAGGCCATGAAGTCTTATTTCAGATAAAAACATTCAGAGGCAGGGGCTTGATCTTTCTTGATTCAATTTTTTGCTTGAATGGATAATTTATTCAAAACTGAAAATTCTGTCACTATTTACTCATCGTCATGTCATTGCAAAAACTCTATCCTGTGTTCTAAAAAAACACATTGGTCCCTTTTAGCCTTCACTTTTCTTTCAAAAGCCTCGAAAGTGGGTGCCGGTAAATAGTGGTATGCTAAGCTACTATGCTAAACTGTAATCTTATTGAAAATACTAGTTGAAAACACAAACAATGGGAAAGTTGTTTCAGCCAATGAAATTGCTTTTGGGGTCCAAGGAGGATCAAACTCTGTGGGGGGAGAAAAACTATACCAGCTATGTTTCAGAAGGGAAGGAATCCTTAATTTCGTCAATTGCATTTTTATGGAAATTATGTAAGTAAAATGGATTGTGAATGCCGTTTCATGTTGCCTTAATCTCAAAGTTGATATAGATGGCTTTTTTATTGTTATATATTCACTAATTGTGAAGTTATGTTTATTAATGTGTCTCTGACTTGTGGTGCACAATCATAACCTTGAGCATTTGGAATAGAAGCAAATATGCTAATGATGTTGGTGGGAGGTAAAGCTTGTTTTGTTTTTTTGTTTTTTTCTCTCTTGTTGCCGTAGCAATGGGGCAAAGCAGCCTCCTGCACAATGCCCTGGCTCCCTGGCTCCTCTAAAGTCATCACCAACAAGCCCTGGGTACGACTTGCGCTCACCATGGCAACCACTGCACTTATCCTAGTCATGGCTGTATTCAATATGGTGAGCATCACTACTACTTAATACCTGGTCTGTCAGCTAGATTGGACTGCTTTTAAAATGACTGACATTTATTATGTTCACATATAATTCATTATGAGCATGTTCATAAGAGAAATATTCCCTGCTTGCTATGGTTATGTCAATATCATGAACTGATTGCTGGCTTTATGGTTCAGTAATGGTAATGGTTTATGGTTATTTCTAAAGTAACTCTTTAGAAATAAGGGTTCTGTTAAAAATTTTGCTCTTGCCTAGTTTTTCATACCTCCTGTGACCTATAAGAGGATACTTTCCCCAAATAATATTACAAAATATCACTACACTATTGAAACTCTGCTATAAGTCCCAGTTTTGCATATATAGAAAATAGGACTGGACCAAGTACCGAACCCTGAGGAACCTCACAGGTAATTGACGTGACATAGGCACCATTTACCTTCAAAATAATTGAAAGAAAATACATGTGTGGTGGTACACTTTAGCTCTAATCAAGTGATTTACTTTTGCCGAAGACTGCAACATAAGACAGGCGATATAAAGGCCAGTTACCTTTTTTGTTAAATGGTTCATGATTTTCATTCCTAGGATACATAAACCTATCAGTATTTACACAATATATTACATGACACATTCATTTAGACAGTTGGCTGATAAATCAATCACCAGTTTTTGGCCCAGTTGGAGGGCTTTAGCTATGGAATCTGTGGTGGTTCACAGTAAAGGGCAGAGTAGAATTAGTGTCAGCTGTCTGGTTGGATTCATCATTGTAGCATCGCTGTACTAGGGCTCTGGTCCAGTTTGGATCTAATGATATTATCCCTGAGCTCAAGTGATTTGTTGTCCCTGTGGGAGAGAAACACAAGAGAAATGTGACTGAATACTTGGGTTTTCGGTTTCACACATCTACGATGAAATGTTACACTGTTCAGCTGGGCTTGTTAAAACTTTGATATTTTGTTCTCTTGCGGTGACAGTCATGCATTTTTAATTGTGGCTTAAATGTCAAAACATTTTTGCACCACTGTATTTCTATAATAAACAAATTTAAGTAGTCACATAACACCACAGATCAACATGTGTCAAATATTTCAGCAACCTTTCAATTAAATCCTGCACCAAGTGGACAAAAACTGTATCCACAGAAGCTTCTATTCTGCCAAAGTTGGCAATTATTCATCTTCTCTGCTTTTCCCATCTGCTTGCAGCTCATTTATTTTTGTTGAATTTTGCACTTGTGTAAAAAAAAATGTTGTGAACTTCTAAGAAACATATTTGTTACAAACTGCAACAGATGTGTTTAGTTAAGAATGATGATGTCTTTCTTTATAATTCTCTAAATTTTGTTTTTCTCCATCTGTTGGGTTTTAAGTTCTTCTTAGGCGAAGATAGGATGGTAGCATCACCTCCACTCAACATTTCCAACAACAGTATGGATGGTCCAGATGGTCAAACCACAGACTCCTCAAACAACAAGTTCTACTTGCCAGTAAGTTATAATAAATCTTATCTCATGTCTTTGCCCACAAATCTCTTCTCATAAAAAAATGTGAACTGAATAACCTTTTATTTACAGACCCACATGAAAACATGTTGTAAATCCTCTGTTGAGATCTGGGTTTAAAAAAAAAGTTCTCTGTATCCTTGATGGAACAGACTTGTGATGAATTGTGAGTGTCCTGAGATAAACCAATTTGTCTACGCTTGCATCAGTATATAATAAGTCACTTTATACTGTGTGCGTGATTATGTATGGCGACGCTGTAGTGATATTTAACAGCTGAAAAATATACTGGAAAATATAGTTATGCACTGAGAGCTCTGTAGTGCATACATGAAATTAGATCTCTACAGATATTAAGATGGTGGACAAAAGCATCCTCAAGCATTTTCCTAGAATGATACAGTACATTGGTTAGGAAATAAGACTCTTGGTGTATATGACTTTTTTTTAAATTTCTTAGTAACATCCATTTTGTAATATTTCAGGGTCATCATATGATAAGTGTGTTCTGTTATTAAATTCTTAGCACTTAAATCAAAACTTCATAGTTCTCTTTTCATTGATACTGATTGGCCCTAATGAATGTACAGATGTGAATCTGACTGGCTTTCTCTTCCCTGGCAGTATTTCATCTACAGCTGCATTCTGGGATTGATCTCATGCTCCGTGTTCCTGAGGATAAACTATGAGCTGAAGATGATAATTATGCTTGCTGCTGTAGTGGGTTATAATATCATCATTCTTCAGACCCATGCCTCTGTACTGGATGATTACAGCATGGCTCTCTACAAGACCCAGCAAACGGACCGGTACTGGATTCCCATAAGCTCCCACATACAGTGACGCTAAAAAAATTGTCACAAATAATCTGCAGGGGGGTTTTTTATTTGTAGATGCCACTTCTTGCCACTTCTTCCATTGCACACACACAGTGAGCGAAAGAATGAAGAATTGTGGCACATAGATACATTTGGTAACTGTGGAGACAATTTTTTCCAGAAGGTCTCTCAATATCTCCAGGGATAATGAGTGACAGGTGCTGCTGTTGAGATGGCAGGCTATGTGTGGATTAGTATTTTCAAAGGATTTGACAGTGCTGGACAAGAAACATTTTTAAAAATAAGCCTATTGCAGGGTTCCTCAAATCTTGCCCTGGAGGGCCAATGCGCTGCAGAGTTTAGCTCCAACCCTGATCAAACTCACATACTTGTGATTTTCTAATGATCCTGAAGACACTGATTAGCATGCTCAGGTGTGTTTGATTAGGGTTAGAGCTAAACTCTGCAGGAAAGTGGATCTCGTGGGCTGAAAAGTCTGTATCCTGTCCATATCCTACTCTACACACAAAATACTTTTGTGTCCTCTTGACTTCTAAAGTTTATATTTCTGTCCGTTCCCCCTCAGGCCAGGTGTTCTTAAAGATTTGAAGACCATGGGCTCTGTGTCATTGTTCATTTTCTTTGTCACTTTGCTTGTGCTGGCGAGACAGGTGAGTCTCTCTCAATCGGAAATCTTTGTAAAGATGTGCTTTAACACTGCTATTATACTTGCTGTTTGTTTTTGAGAAGTTAATCTAAAGAGTTGTGCTGAATTATTTGGAATGAGATCCACTGATCCAGGAATAGTTCACTCCAAAAGGAAAATTTGCTGAAAATGTATTCATTCTCAGGCCATCCAAGATGTAGATGAGTTTGTTTCTTCATCAGAATAGATTTGTAGAAAAGTAGCATTACATCACTTGCTCACTATTAGATCCTCTGCAGTGAATGGGTGCCGTCAGAATGAGAGTCCAAACAGCTGATAAAAACATCACAATAATCCACAAGTAATCCACACCACTCCAGTCTATCAATTAACATCTTGTGAAGTGAAAAGCTGTGTGTTTGTAAGAAACAAATCCATCGAGGCGTTTTTAACTTCAAATAGTCCTCTATCCTTAATGTTGCTTTCTCCAGTGGAAAAGTCATCTTGTCTGAATTAGGAGAGAAATATGCACAGATCAAGCACCGTTTACAAGCAAAGACAGTCCAAACACATTCTAAACAAATATGTTGGTGGATTTTGATGTGAGAGGACAACAAGAGATGGACTTTTCACTGGAGGAAACATTATTATGGACTGGTATTTTGGCCAGAAGTGATGGCTTAAATGCCTTAATGATGGATTTGTTTATTATAAACATGAAGCTTTTCGCTTCACAAGACAGTAACTGATGGACTGGAGTGGTGTGAATTATTGTGATGTTTTTATCAGCTGTTTGGACTCTCATTCTGACGGCACCCATTCACTGCAGAGGATCCATTGGTGAGCAAGTGATGTAATGCTAAATTTCTCTAAATCTGTTGTGATGAAGAAACAGACTCCTCTACATCTCGGATGACCTGAGGGTGAGTCAGTTAATTTTTGGATGAACTATTCCTTTAAGACTCCCTTTACTTTGATCTTGGAGGTACTTGGCGTGAAAAATCCACCAACAAGAATTACAGCAGTAATGCATGTTTTAGTTTCACCTCTGAAATTACATTTTAAACAAATTTACTCGGCTTACATAACTTTTTTTTTTTTTTTTACAGAAGAGTTAATATAAGCCTTTGAACAAAAATAAAAACATCACATTTTTGCTTTTTAAGCCTCCAGAATGTACTACCATTGTAAGTGCATCATAATTGTGTGGTAATTGGCAGAATGAGCTTAACTTATACAGTACTTTCCTTTAATTAATCAGTTATTCAATTGATTCAACTGTAAAAGATGGCTGAATGTTAATTCTATGACAATTTAATAATAGATGTTAGCCTAATCTAGAAACAGTCACTTCTTACCTTGAAATGTGAATTTTTCAGAAGTCATTTTACGATTAAGCTCAGAGTTTTGTGGCAGCACAAATGTGTTCCCAATTTCTATGGCTTCAGTTATTATCAGCACTCATCAGCCTCTGGCTGCAGAATAACATAAAGCTTTCATGCAAAAAAGCATTTAATAAATACCACTTTAAGAAATGATTTTTTTCACAGTACAATATAGAGAGAATTGTATGTATTTCAGTCTGGATTGAAACCTTATCTCTACAGGTCGGCCGTGGATCCGATTTTTTTCAGTGTTTGCTTTTAATTCTGTTATGAGAGGCTATTTGTCCCTAGATAATAGGCCTGTCTGATGAACTCTGTATTTGAAATGTGCAGTTAGGTGAATTAATTTATAAGTAATGCGGTGTTCGGGTTGATCAGGTGATAGGTAAGCCAGGGTCTGATTTTTCTCCAAAGCAATGAACCACACAAAAATAAGCAAAAGCAAATATAGACTGAGTGAGAAAGACTATCAGTGCATACTTGATGCCTTTCAAGGTGCCATTTCCACTGATTCAAGAAATCTTTTTCATGATGAATGTCTGCTGGAACACAAAAGCTACAACTCGGAGAAAATTGAAGCAATTTTTCATGATAGCAGCCCTTCATGCAAGAAAAATCCATAAAAATAATGAACTGTCCTTGTGTGCATTTGATTCTGCTTTCTTTGTCATCTTGAAAGCCACATTATGGTGATCAGATGTGTACCATCTCTTTACCTCTGTGTCCTCTTGTAACAGAATGAATATTACTGTAGGTTAGACTTCCTGTGGAGGAACAAGTTTAAGAGGGAGTGTGAGGAGATTGAGACCATGGAGAACCTAAACCGGGTGCTTTTGGAAAACGTACTGCCTGCCCATGTGGCAGAACATTTCCTGGGGAGGAACTGGAAGAATGAGGTGAATGGCGTCCAGATGTCCAAAAACACCAGTGAAAAGTGCATCTATTGTGTCTTTATCACCAGATATATTTTTGTATGCTGTATTTTTGACAGGATCTCTACCATCAGTCGTATGATCTGGTATGTGTGATGTTCGCCTCCATCCCAGACTTCAAGGAATTTTACACAGAATCGGATGTTAATAAGGAGGGATTGGAGTGTCTCAGGCTCCTTAATGAGATTATAGCAGATTTTGATGAGGTAAACTCACAGACACAACCATGGCCATAACCAGGGTTTGAAAATTAGTGAGGTCTGGGGTGGGGTTAAGGATTGTGCTATTATAACCCCTACATTATATACACTAACACTTTAAAAGAGACAGACATGTAGATGTTTGTGAAAGATGTTTTCTCTGTTTTGGAGGGAGGAACATTGTTAAATTATACTAAACTGCAACTTCTTACTTTATAAACCAGGGGTGTCCAAACTCGGTCCTGCAGAGTTTAGCTCTCAACACACCTGCCTGGAAGTTTCTAGTGTGCCTAGTAAGACACTGAATAGCCTGGTCAGGTGTGTTTAAACTCTGCAGGACACCGGCCCTCCAGGACTGCGTTTGGAGAAATTAAGTAGAAAAGACAAGTCCAAAGATGCTTATAATAGCTGGATCTGGCAACTCATTGGAGGCTGCGCCCGTGCCCTCACTCTCAAGCCTCGTTCGCTCCGCCAGCGTCTCGCAGCGATCATTTTCATACTACGGACGCTAAACATTCTTGCAAACTGTCTAAACTTAATTATACATGCAGACACTCATATGATGAGTTTTAAACAGTAAAATTAGTCATTCAGAGAACAAATGTTATTTTTGAGGTCCGGACCTCAGTGACCTCATAGCTGGCTACGGCCATGGACACAACCCTATTTTGATTTCAGATGCTGTGGAAAGCTACACTAAAGTACTTGTGAAGATATATACGCCATCTGCGATAACTGATCCTTCCTTAAGCCTTGCTTTAAAAATGATACTGACATACTGCCAGACAAACAATTGATCTTATGTAATGTACGCCTATTTAGGTCCTGGATGGTTTCAAACTGAATATTTCAGAAATTAACTAAAAATAGCACATTACAGTGTTAAAACATTCAAAGTTGGAATGGTTGATGCATAGAGAAAAATTCTGCCTTTGATGAAGTCTTTGTGGTATCAGCAGTTTCAGATAAATCAACCCATAAATGGCACATAAAAATAAAATGAACTCTGGGTGCTTTACATGACGATTATACGGTCTCTTCCAGTTTAGGTGGGCGGTTCTTGGCTGGAATAAGCAGAAAAGTGGATCAGACTAGTCAAATGTCTGGCTTTTGAGATAAGAGCATTTATGTAATACTTACTTTAATAGCAGAACCAAGTTCTAGTTTGAAAGCTTGTCATAGTAACAGTAAAAATGGGGGCAAGTCCTAACAAAGGATCAAATAACGTCCACTGAGTTTCTCATATAAATGAAATCATACTAGTTTTCATGTTCTTTTTGATTCTTTTTAAAGGCTGAAAATACATGCAGTCTGCTAGCAATCACATCATTTGCTACAAGGCACAAGCCTCTGCTGATTCTGCAGCCAATAAGATTGCTTGCTCAACATTCTAAATGTCTGGTTCAGTGTTTGCTGTAAGCTGATCCTGCAGCGCTATCAGAGTTCCTCTGAAACCCTCCACCTCCCCCAGCACCACCTGTCTAGATCTGCTGTGGGATTTATGTATGCCGATTCATGCAGCAGCATATATTACATGCTTACTGAAGTGAGTCTGTGTATCTACACACTTTCACAGCACTGTCATAGAAGAGCCATTTTGGGTTCCCCAAAGAACGTTTCACAGTGAACCATTCTTTTAAAAAAGCCATTTTTTTCTTAAGGTCTCTGCACACTGAGTCAGAATTTTTCGTCCGAAATGTTCGCACGTTGAAAAATAAATACGACCTCACGTTGTCAATCACGTTTACACACTACCTCCGAAACTTTCGTCCGTCATAAAAAAATTCGGACCAGGTTCGATTTTCTGCGTTTTCGCATCCGTAGCAAGCATTTTGATAGCAAAGGATGACGAATACGAAAAAAAAAAAACGGAAAAACGCATACGAAAGTTTCAGACTCAGTGTGCAAGGACCTTTAGTCTTAACATTTTAATGATCTGAATAAACTTTTTCCACTATAAGGAACTTTCTGTGCAGGTTCCATGGATGTTAAAGGTTCTTTATAGAATCATAGATGCCAGTAAAGAGTGTATTGGCTGTATGAAGTCTATACTTGCTATGCAGCAGCAGAAGCAACATCAGATCTAGTCTGCCAAGATCAAATACATTAACATATCTTCTCTTCTTAATGCTTTAGTTTTTTTGGGTTTTGCAGTTGCTGTCAAAACCCAAATTCAGTGGCGTGGAGAAGATCAAAACTATTGGCAGCACATACATGGCTGCTACGGGGCTGAATGTGACCCCTGGACCAGAGTATGCGCAGGTACAAATTGGAGCTCTTGTGTTTGTTCCAAAATCATAATTCTTGTAAAGATTACACTGAATCGATTGCAGAGTCTCATAAAACCTATTGTAGGACCTGCCTGTGATGCTAAAAGCTTGATTTGTGCTTGAAACGTCTCACTTTAAGGTCTCTGCACACTGAGTCAGAATTTTTCGTCCGAAATGTTCGCACGTTGAAAAATAAATACGACCTCACGTTGTCAATCACGTTTACACACTACCTCCGAAACTTTCGTCCGTCATAAAAAAATTCGGACCAGGTTCGATTTTCTGCGTTTTTGCATCCGTAGCAAGCATTTTGATAGGAAAGGATGACGAATACGAAAAAAAAAAACGGAAAAACGCATACGAAAGTTTCAGACTCAGTGTGCAAGGACCTTTAGTCTTAACATTTTAATGATCTGAAGAAACTTTTTCCACTATAAGGAACTTTCTGTGCAGGTTCCATGGATGTTAAAGGTTCTTTATAGAATCATAGATGCCAGTAAAGAGTGTATTGGCTGTATGAAGTCTATACTTGCTATGCAGCAGCAGAAGCAACATCAGATCTAGTCTGCCAAGATCAAATACATTAACATATCTTCTCTTCTTAATGCTTTAGTTTTTTTGGGTTTTGCAGTTGCTGTCAAAACCCAAATTCAGTGGCGTGGAGAAGATCAAAACTATTGGCAGCACATACATGGCTGCTACGGGGCTGAATGTGACCCCTGGACCAGAGTATGCGCAGGTACAAATTGGAGCTCTTGTGTTTGTTCCAAAATCATAATTCTTGTAAAGATTACACTGAATCGATTGCAGAGTCTCATAAAACCTATTGTAGGACCTGCCTGTGATGCTAAAAGCTTGATTTGTGCTTGAAACGTCTCACTTGAGAGTCTCATAGTTCCTTGTTCTTATTCTGAAGGACCACGACCGGCAGTACATGCATATTGGAACAATGGTGGAGTTTGCGTTTGCTTTGGTGGGGAAGCTTGACGTCATCAACAAACATTCCTTTAATGACTTCAAGCTGCGAGTGGGTAAGCAGGGCCCGTCAGCACTTTTACACCCGGTAACATTTTGTTTGCCTTTCCTAATAAGTCTCATAATAGCCTGTGGTAGAGATTTAGCACACATTCGGGATGTTTCAAATGTTTCCGGCTTTTCTCTCACCAGGAATAAACCATGGCCCAGTAATTGCAGGAGTAATCGGAGCACAGAAACCGCAGTACGATATCTGGGGGAACACTGTGAATGTAGCCAGTAGGATGGAAAGCACAGGGGTGCTTGGGAAAATCCAGGTCGATCCTTGTTCTGACCTACTTGCAAGCCTGGTGAATTGTTAAAGGGTTTTTCAGTGGATCACATCTAGTGTGCTTCCTTCCACAGGTCACAGAGGAGACGAGTCGGATCTTGCAGACGTTGGGCTACATGTGTTCCTGTCGAGGGATTATCAATGTGAAGGGCAAAGGGGATCTCAAAACCTTCTTCGTTCACACTGAGATGACACGATCCTTATCACAAGGGAATGTAATGCCTTGAACCTCAGTCACACACTAGTCAGTCATTGACCTGATTAAAACGTGTACAGTTCAATATAGCATTGGCCTATTGTAGTGGAGCTCTGCAGCATTCTGTTTGCACCACATACACTAGATTATTTGCATTGCTTTATAAGTAATGGATGGCTCAGAGGCTCTGTGTAACTCAGACTTGTAATTGTGTGTTGCTCAATCCATAATTTAAAGCAGCGGAATTTTGTAAAATTAAAGACCGTTAACAAAGGTGGCCATGTTTTGATGCTATCATTTTGTTATCCATTAAAATTTATATATAAATGTCAAAGTCTCTGTCTATGTGAATTTTAAATAGGCTTCATATGAAAAGTGTTAAAAGCACATAAAAAAACAATTAATATAAACAAGTCATAGGAATTTTTTTTTTATTGATAATACTATAATTATATATAATCAAGTAATATATAATTATAAATAATAAAATATATATATACACTATTATTAATCATATAATTTTAGTAACATAATATAGTTTTTCACATAATGTCGGAATGCAAAAAAGGCTATATTTTGCAATATTTAGCATTTTTCATGACACACACACACATATATATATATATATATATACACTTTCTTACTTGTAAATGCTTTATATATGCTTTCTTATAGTATTAGTAATAGGCTTTTATAGTAAAGAGAATTTGGGATGTTTTGGGTTAAAAATAGGCTTCATGTATTAATTAATATTCATTAATATTCATTATTTTATCATATTAATTAATACTGCAGCATAGAATTTCTGATTTTTGATTCTTTTGTTTAGGCATGAATTATGACATGAGCATGTTGACAGATTGTTTTTTAATTCACCGTGTAACATCAAATACATATTATACTGTATGGATGTAGGCTAAGTAACGATCTGCTCTGCTTGTAGCATTACACATATGTTTTGACATTGTCTGTAATGTGCAGTGACATATGTAACCATATGTAAGAGACGCATTTAGACGGGTGTCACAGATCCATAGCTTTCCTCCACGGTCCAGGTGATCCCATTCTTACTGTAGAAATCAGAACGAATGTGAGCAACACGAGCAAAGCTCCTCTCTGAGTCATACTGCAGCGGTGAAAATCAGCCATACACAGAAGAGGACAGAACAGGTGCTGGTCTAGATGATTCCTAAGATGGGAGGTTGAGATGTATTGGGATCTAGTTCCTCTAGAGAGCATTGTTAAAAAAAGAACAACACAGAATGCATGGACTGCCGAGCTGACATGGATGGATGGCTGTGGAGTTTTGGGAAAAAGCGCACCTCACTGAAGATGTCCAGGCCCCGGGATTTGGCATGTTTTCTGTCATCACGGTGGAGTTTGTTATCATAGCCCTCAGTGCTCTGATGTAAACAGTCATACAGAGACCTCTCTGGGGCCTATACGAGAAAAATGGACAAATTTGGTTTTAGAAAATGTTATTTTGAAAATATGTACTCCGTCCAATGATATCAGGAGGTATTTTGATCTACAGCGTATCCAAAGGATATTTAGACGTAAAAAATATATGAATGCCAAATGTACATTTGTTTGCAAATGCCACTAGTATTGATATTTTATATCTAATGCAAAATCCATTTGATGTTGTTGCTTTTTTTAAAGACCCCCTGTGGTGAAAATCACGTTTTTAACATTGTTTACATGTCTTGTTTACATTATTTTACTATTACAGACCTGTGACCAATCCTGTCAAGTTGCGGGGCGGGGCTTTTCATATCATTAGCATATTTTTGGAACATGGTTTGTGTAATATATTCAATACATTATTAGCTGTTTAATAACGTATTAAAGTCAAAGGCTAACCATATCAATTACCGCTGCATGTCTGATTATGTAGATGTTATGTTATGTATGGAGCAATACATAAAATACATTACCATTCTTGTAATGTGACAACCATGTATGAATTCGCTCTTTCTCTACTTCATAGAAATTAGTTTCTGCTTCAAACATATGTGGCTGTATTAATCTTAAATTGCCACTTGTCCTTGTGAAGCTATTAATCGAGTGAAGGTGGAGATTTGTCATTGTGTTTTCTGACTTGTTATAATGTTTTCTGAATTGTTGTTGTGCTTTCTGAATTGTTATTTTGTTTTTTAGACTTGCATTTGCGTTTGTAATTTGTTATTTTGTTTTCAGAATTGTGATTTGTTTTGCACTTCTCGGCCACCGTAGTGTTACTTATAGATAAAAAATAAAATAAAATAAAATTGAAAAATGTAAGAAAAAAAAAACTGAACTGGCATTATTTAAAAGCTAAATTTTACATCTAAATTTGCTACATTATTTATTACTGTTTCATTGTTTTATTTGACTACATTTAAAAAATGTAGGCTACAAAATGCAGGCTACTAAAACTAAAAATGTAGGCTACTAAAACCAAAAACTATAGAATACCCTTAAAGGGACTTTGCTAAAACTAACAAAACACTTAATTCTTCCATGACACTAGCAAAGTTTGTGACCCCGCAAGCACTCTTTGTCACTTAAGAAATAATGACCTAAAAACACTATAATAGGTGGCATTATCCAATGCTTTCTTAATTTAAATTTCTTTATAAAACACAAATAACTCTCTACTGTTTGAATTCACTGCAGGGTATGTATGTTGCATGGTTTATGTTTACATTACAAAATTATTCCTGAGTAGTCCCTTTTTGGTAATGAAATTAAAAGACTAACACCTACATCTAATTGGTTTGATAGCATTTTTTTTTTTTTTTTAGATTTTAGAATATAGTATCACTGTAGACATTTATAACAAACTGCTGTCTTATTCAGGTTTGTATAATGTTAGGTTTTAAACTTAACCTTAACAGTTTTGAAAATAGTATGTAAACATGCAGATTGCCTGTTGGATTCATGTAGGCTAATTTGAAAGATGCAGTCATTTAATTTTTTGTTTTGTTTTCTCAGTGAAACAAATAATATAGAACAAGCTCCCAAATGGGAATCTGCGGGACTGAGAACAAGCCTTTCCTCAGATGTGAGCAATGATAGAGGTACTGTCCCAATCATAGACAATCAAATATGGTCCCAATACCCCCACTTGCGGTCTTTGCACTTGACTTGTCTTTGATTATCTTTTGATTATCCAATGGGACACACTTTTTTTTGGACACACTTCGCAGTTTTGTCATTCGTAGTTCCTGATACAGTTACTTGTCCAATTGAAAAACTGTTATAATGGCACTGAAGAGAAAACACAGTTAGCTCAGGTGTACTAGCGCTCAGGTGTACGATTTCCACCCCAACATCCAGCAGCAATGCGGCTGAGCAACATCTGCCCGCTAGTGCTGCTGCTGAGGAAAATGAGATGCCAGCGAGAAAGAGGAGGAGGACGGAGAGTTTTGAGAAGCTGCTCTCTCTTAAATCCATTAAGTGGAGCAGCAGCTCAGACCAGGCATACATTTATGAGAGACACGCTGAGGGTAAAAAAAATTACCATTTGAGAATGTGCTTCATAAAGTCTGCATAATTTTCATTCATTTCTATTAGTATGCATTAATGGAATAAACTGATTAGAGGAATTGTTCTGTTCTGTAGGATGAAGTGTCATTAATTACCATATGCAACAAATCTACACCATCACACATTACATCAAAATCCAAAAATTTGATAAGTTTGTATGATAAGATTTTTATTGCAGGACATAAATACTTAAACAGATGAAACATGGTTTGAAGAAGTTCTAATTTGAGATAGCATGTAGCAACTGAAGAATCATCATGTTGAGTATGCAATATTTAATTACTATTTGTTTAAACATGTTTTTTTATATATTCCCCTCTTTAGATCTAATTTCTCTACAGTCAATCGCCTGGTCTTTAGGGGATCATGGTCTTCAGGAACCTCTTTCCAGTGGTCTTAAAGTCCTTCCCCCAGCAGATCAGCAGGTTCAAAGCCCTCCAGCTCCAGTCCACCACAGTCCAGTCAGTCCAGCATCAGCTCACAGCAGCATAGTGGACTTGACGACTGAGGGTGAGTTTACTGCCATAACCCCAAACATTACACACACTGCTGTCAATGCCTGACAATTCATGTCAACTACAATTATTAATCATTTAACAGACTACATTATGAGCCGGTATGAAATTGGCAGAAAGCTTGGTGAGGGAGGATTCGGCTCCGTCTACGAAGGGAAACGCTTGGAGGATGGCCTTGAGGTATTGTCATTTTCTCACAATATTTAACTGCATTGTTTTGTCTTAATTAGTGCATTTATTGCACTTGTCATGTTGTAAATGTGATTGTAATCAATGTTATGTTTTGTTGTACAGGTGGCAGTGAAAATTGCCAGAAAGCCAAAGAACATGAAATACATCAGCACCGTAAGTAGGCAATGCTCACTGTTTTTCCCCCTGCAAACATACTGACGTTAATGTGTCCAAGATTCGACAAAAGTCTTTATTTGGGAAGTACCTCCATCTAACAATGATCTTTCTTCAAGTCTGGTCATCCCACACCCCTTCCATTAGAGGTCGGCCTGTTAAGGGAGCCTAAAGCTCCAGAGATCATTGAGCTGCTGGACTGGCAGGACCAGCCTGAATATTACATCATGGTCATGGAGCGTCCCTCACCCTGCGAAGATCTGTGGAACCATTTGAGGCGCCACGGTGCCATCCTCAAGGAGGAAGCAGCACGGTTCATCATAGCACAGCAACAATGGCCGCTCACATCTGCTGTCAACGAGGAGTGTTTCACCGTGACATTAAGCTGGAGAACCTGCTGATGAACCCCGAAACTCTCGAGGTCAAACTGATCGACTTTGGGTGCGGGGATCTCCTGAATGACTCTGGCTATAAACGTTTCTATGGTATGTATCATGCATCAAACCTGTACTTTGGGAGCATTATTTTTTATTTAATAACACCAGATATTTTTTACACAGAAAACATGCTGTAGTATTTCAAGCTTACCTATCAGACAAAATCTTTTTTCCTCAGGCACACGAGAGTACTTCCCTCCCGAGTACAGTGATGAGGCACAGTGTCACTCAATGGCACAGTCCCGTTTGGCTGTTATGGCAAACAGATGCATTGCAGCCTGATTTCAGCCTGGTGACCAAAGGTCTGATCGGATCACCGAGAAGAGCTACTGTAGCTCAAATTGCTTCTGGTGTCAGAACACACAATGCATGGCAGTTTGCTGCTGTTATGAAACTGCACAGGTACATGAAGTTTGAGGGTCCAGATGCAGTATTTATTAAAAGGGTCATCCACAATCAAAGTCCAAAACAGGAACAGGTCATAACACTGGCAAT